TACGGGGTCGGGTGGTACGGACGTACGTCGGTACGTACGTCTTACTACTACGACTACGAACGACGACTACGACTCTCTCTCTACTACTCTCTCTCTCTCTCTCTCTCTCTCTCTCTCTCTCTCTCTCTCTCTCTCTCTCTATAGATATATATATATATATATATCTGTCTCTCTTAACTGGCTTTAAGAGAGACAGATAGTTTGCTCCATGTATGTCTCTGTTAAATTGCCGCCCCTCTTTCTATTCTCTCTCTTCTTTCAATTTTCTCTTTCTTCCCTTCTTCTAAACTCACTCCAATGTATTGTAATGGCTGACTCCAGTTTCTGGAACTCCAAGCATTTGTGCTCTTGAACCTTGTTTTGAGCTTGGAATGGTGTATTTTATTTAGTAAACAATCAGCCATGGCATTTATCGAACATTTAGAACTATGGTTTTGCATCTCTGAATCAGCTTTCTTCTGCAATTGCAACTTTGCACAACGCCCATCTATGGATGGGTGGCCTGCTTTCATGGCTCAAAGGCCAAGCATTTAGTGGAGATTTACTCAATTGATGATGAATTATCCCAGCTCTGTTTCGGTAATGATTGGAGAGAGATTCTAAGGTTTCGAAGCTTGAATCACTTAGGCGAAAACATGAACTCATCATCGATTTCAGCGAAGATCATCCATTAACAAGCTTCCATGGTGGATTGAGCACAGTGAGAGAAACCAACTTCTTGTATTTTCAGCCATGGCCAAACGCTTCTGCTTATTCTGGAATCCTAGTTTTCATTCCTGATCAAACTATCGCAGGTTGGTTTGCCCAAACTTTTGCTCTGCTGTTGAGGGAAGAAGGAATTCAGAACCTGCTGAAGCAAGAGAAGGGTTAGAGATATGAATTCGGCATTGCTGTCAAAATAAGAGAGATGGTGCATTGGAAGAGGCGGTCTCTCTCTTCAAAGGTATGCTTCTCCATTCCTCTCTCAAACCTACTCTCTCTACCTGCAATTTCTTGTTTGTCTCCCTCTCTAAAGCTGGCCACCAAGCATCAGCATTATTTCTATATAAAACCATGGCCAACGATGGAATTTTACCTGATCTTTGTATCTTGCACACATTGGTCAAGTGTTTTTGCCACATGAAAAGAACAGAGTTTGCACTTGAGGTTGTTAGTCTCATTCACAAAATGGGTTACCATCTCTCTGTCATCCTATTGAACATTGTAATGAAGGGAATGTGCAACGAGGGGCGTGTTGTGAGGGCTAGGGAGCTCTTCCATGCTATGGAAAGCCTTAAGGTTTCACCTGATGTCTTTTCATTTAACACTCTCATAAATGGGCTATGCAAAGCCAATAAAATGGAGGAAGCCATGGTTTATACAAAGAAATGGGCAAGCATATGTGTCACCCTGACATAGTTACGTATAACACGGTCATAGATGGTCTTAGCAAGGGTGGGAGAACGGAGGAGGCAATGGATTTGTTAGTGGAAATGGATCACAAGGGCCTGAAGCCAGATGTTTTTACATTTAGCGCTCTCATAAATGGGCTTTGCAAAGAAAATGACATTGAAGGGGCCTTAGAATTGTGCAAAGAAATGTGGAAAAGAGGTTGTATCCCCGACATTATCACCTATAACAAGGTCATGGAGGGTCTTTGCAAGGGTGGGAGAACTGAGGAGGCAATGTCTTTGTTAGTGGAGATGTATCACAATGGCCTTGACCCGGATTTTGTTTTGTATAGCACTCTCATAAATGGGCTTTGCAAAGCAAAAAAATTAGCAGAAGCCTTGGCCTTGGTCAAAGAAATGGTGAAGAGAGGGTGTCAACCCAACATTCTCACATATAACACATTCATAGATGGCTTTTGCAAGGGGGGCAAAACTGAGGAGGCAATGGTTTTGTTAAAGGATATGCACCACAACGGCCTGAAAGCTGATGTTGTCACATATAACACTCTCATAAATGGGCTTTGCAAAGCAAACAACATTAAAGGAGCCCAGGAATTGTGCAAAGAAATGGGGAAAAGAAGGTGTTCCTCTGACATTGTCACATATAGCATGCTCGTAGACGGTCTTTGCAAGGATGGAAGAACAAAAGAGGTGATGTATTTGTTAGAGGAAATGTGTCTTACTGGCCTGAACCATGATGTTATCACATGTAGCATAATCATAAACATCCTGTGCAAAGAGAATAACTTGGATGAAGCCGTGGTGTTGTTCAAAGAAATGGAGAAAAGAGGATGTTATCCTAACATTTTCACTTATAACATCCTCATTGATTGTACTTGCAAGAATGGGGGAATAGAAGAGGCACTCAGTTTGTTGGAGGAGATGGATCACAATGGCATTAGCCCGGATAATGTCACATATACCATCCTCATAAACATGCTCTGCAAAACAAATAACTTGGAGGGAGCCTTAGAGTTATTCGAAGGCATGGGGAAGAGAGGGTGCCTCCCCGATATTTTCACATATAATGTACTCTTAGATGGTCTCTGTAAGGATGGGAAAATACAGGAAGCAGTTTACTTATTTGAGGAGATGTACAATAATGGCTTGAAACCATGTACTGTTACATATAAGCAATGTCATAAGCATGCTTTGCAAAACAAATAATTTGGAGGAAGCCCTGGAATTATTTGATAGAATGGGGAAGAGAGGGTGCCTCCCGAACATTTTCACATATAGTGCACTCATAGATGGTCTTTGTAAGGATGGGAAAATAGAGGAAGCTGTAGAATTGTTTCAGTGCATGTTTGAAAAGAAAGTTTCTCCTAATGTAGTTACTTGCACTTCTTTGATTCATGCTCTTTGTCAAAATGGTCGTTGGAAGGAGGCAACGGAAATGTACAAAAGTATGTTAGAAATTGGGGTTCATCCTAATGATATTACATATAACATGATGGTAGATGTCTTATGGAAACACAGGAGTTCTGAACAATCCATGACACTGATAGAATCCATCATAAAGGAAGACAGAGAACAGACTTCTACAACAAAATGATTTGTTGGTGAGAATCCAAAAGGACCAAAACTTGCATCCTCTATAGCAGGTGAAAGTATTAAATATGGGTGATAGTCATTATTTGTTGCATTATTGAATCACGTGACTGATTATATAAACAATTTGGCCTTTCTTTTGTCAAAATCATTTAACATTACTGTAATATTTGTGCGATTTTAATTTAGTTGAACTAATAATTCATTGTGAAGTTTGCATCATCCTTTGAAATACATAAATGATTGGGAAGTTTCTTATAAATTTGTTTATATTTCCTTCTATTCTTACAGACAACATATTTAAAATATGAGTGAATGTTATTGATACCTTTGACTTTGCTAAATATCGTCACAGGAGAATTTGTTTTCCTTAATTGGTGATGAGCAAAACTTGTTATTTTACTTAATTAGTGTAAATTTTTTGACAAGTGATTTGTGTATAGGGGGAAGCATGGTGATTGGGATTGTGGGTTGTTCATTGCAAAGTGAATGTTTTATTTATTCTATGAAATTCAGTGGAATTCGTGGTTCAAAGGTATCCAAATGGGTGGGTCTCTGTATAAGATTATCACACCAAAGAGGTATCTTTTTTTTCAGGCCCCTGTTCGGTTGAGGAGCTTGAGATCTTGTGTCATTAGAAATTGAGAACACTCCTGGTGTCTTTGTTGTGTTGAGCTCAAGCCCATTCCTTGTATGATTCTTATCAGAAATTGGGACATTGCCAGTCTCTTGCTTATGCGCACTGATTCAGAGCAGTATCGACGTTTTGCACCTTTTGGTGATTGGTCTTATGTTCTTTTTTCTTTTGAAGTGGATCTTATATTTTGACAGAGCAGACTTCCAAGTTTGTTTGCTAAGTCATTTGAGTAAAGATCTACATGAATACATGATCAGCAAGGTGAAACTCATTTCCATAGTTGCTCAAGTTTGTGAAACTGTTCATTTTTTTATAGGATGGCGTTTCTATAATGCCTATGCATTATGCAAACAAATTAAAGCTTCACCTTGAAACCTCATCCGGAAAGCACTTTCAGAGTCGGGAATCTACATGATGACTCTAAAATCAATTTCCAACACCGGCCATAAAATTTGAAGTTAAAAGATGGTACAGATCTTGTGGATCTGTGAACACCTATTTTTAGCACGAAATGGACGGTTTAGATGGTTTGTTGCAATATACACTATTTTTGGATTTTAAAATCCTGATTTTTTTTACAACCTTAATGTTCAAGCCGAGATGATCGATTCAAAAGTTTCTGACATTTGAATTGCATTTTTCGATGAGTTATGAGCTGGGGCTTTACTTATTTTGAAGGGCTGCAGCTCTATCAAACTATTTTCCTTAGCACATATGATCCTCACTATTGTACATTCTTGTGTGATTCGAGATTGCCTCAGGAATATTTTTTCGTTGATGTTGTTCATGACCTATGGGAGCAATTTCATTTTTTCATTTTTTTTTTTTCTGCATATGGGATTTAGTCCCTCAGTTTTAAGGTCCAACGGGGATCAATTTCATCTAGTTTATACGCCAATTTCTTTTTTGACCCCCCCTCCCCCCCCCCCAAAAAAAAAAAACAACCCCCTCCCTCCCCCCCAAAAAAAAAAACAACCCCCTCCCTCCCCCCTTTCCCTTTATTTTAGAAAATTCCCCGCTGTTCTATATTTTTCTTCAAATGATATATGGAGCTGGTTTCCTCAAATGATATTGAATATATATCTTTTGACGGGTTGCCAAAGGTTGGAAACTTGATTTTTATGATTGGAAGCTTTTGGGAGATCTGGTTGGAAAGGAATAAAAGGGTGTTTGAGGGGCCGATAATGAAAAGGGATTTGTTGTAAAAAAGAATTCAGCATACAATTTGGAGTTGGGTCTCTATTACGAAAGAATGTTTTGGGATCTCGAAGGTTGACATGGAAGTGAACGTGAGGAATTTAATAATGCAAAACGTGATGAAGGTGAGGCACAATGGAAGGTGGATTGCTTCTAGATTAGGAAGTATGAAACTAAATTGTGAGGGGAGCTCTATAGGGAATTCGAGGATAACAAGCTTTGGAGGTGTGGTAAGGAATATCTTGGACAATGTATTTTTTGCTTTGCAGGTCCGTGAGGTATAAAAACAGCCAATGAAGTGGAACCAATTGCGGTGCTAAGGGCCTCAAAACTTTAAAAGATAGAGAAGGGGAACTACTTGCAGTGTTAAAGGGGTTCAAAACTTTAAAAGATAGAGGCTTACATGAAGGATGTGTGATAGAATGTGATTCTTTAAATGTGGTTAATTGGTGTAATTGTGTCTATAGGCTTTTTTAGAAATTGAAATCGGAAATGGATAGAAGTAATAGAGTTGAGTCGAGATATGACTGTGACGTTCCAATATATTAATAAAGATAAAAAAAAAATCGTAGATACTTTAGCCAAGAGAGGAGGTGCAATGTAAGATTTGGTTGTTTCAGATGTTTTGATTACTTGATTATATTGTAATATATTTTGATTAATAAAATGATAAAATATTGTTAAGAAAGAAAAAAAAAAAAAAAAAAACTAAGAAGTGGTTGATAATGGAATTACCAGCACCTAGAGAGAGAAGTGGAGAGAGAAAAAGAAAGAATTCTATTTTTAACCTTTAACTGATTTCTTGTTTTTTTCCAAAAATGGTTGGGGATTGACCAAATTAGTGGCCTTAAATGTTTCTAATATCATTGGCACCCACACTCGGCATAATTGGCATCAAAAGTGAACGTAGCAAGAGATACGCTCTCTCTTTTTCAGTTAGAGAGAGAGATGGGGAAAGCTGAAAGAGCTTCTCTTTTAAAAAGAGAAAATCTACCATAATTAACCCTTCAATAACTAACCATGATTTAAAATCGAGTAAGTGTTTAAAAATGGTTGAATAAAATGTACGTTTGGAAGGAAACATTATAATGTTAATTGGAATTGTTTGGACCCCTAATGATTTTGTAAAGGCTTTTGACCCTTTAAGTAATAGGAAATTTATTAGAAACGTCTCTTTAATTTTTCAATATTACAAATTTACTTGTAATTCCTAACCGATCTGGCCTCGCATGAGTATGCGGTGGCAGTGCTTGAGTCTGTGATAGTACCACTATAGACCAATGTTGTTATTTCGGAGTCTTATTCGGTTTGGTGAGAAAAATGAAGCGCATGTAATTTCAATTTTTTTTAAAAAAAATAACATAAAATAAAAAAATTGGATATTTATATATATAAATAATAAAAATATTAAAAATACAAATTTTTTTTAAAAAAAATAGACAGAAAAATAAAAAATAAAAAAATATATTTATATCGATATTTCTTTGTTTCAGCCGAATTGGCTTGAAGCATACTCAAAATTAACTGAAGCGACAGCATCAGGCTTCGTTTCACTTCAATTTAAGGCTTAAGTCGCTTCAGCCTACCTAAAATTTGAAGGCTTGGTCTCTTCGGCCAAAGCAAAGTGAATCTAACAACACTGATATAGACCTAACGGGTCTATATTCATATGGCAGGCCGGCCCAGGCCCTTTGAAAGCCCTCTATCTAGATACCTTCGGTTTTAAATCACACACTCTCTCTCTCTCTATCTCTATCTCTATCTAAGACAGTATGTTTTGCTACTCTCTTTTAATAATGATATTTTAGAAATATTTAAGGCCACTAATTTAGTCAATCCCCGAGGAGAAAAACAAGAAATCAGTTAAGAGGGGAAAAACGGATTTCTCTCTCTCTCTCTCTCTCTCTTTCCACCCCCTCTCTCTCTAGCTTTCTCTCTCTAGAGGGGGTGGTGATTCCATTATCAACCGCTTCCAGTCTCCGGTCATTGTTTTTCCAATTTCAAACCAGAAAACAAAGGAAACAAGAAGAAATAGAGAGAAGAAACAAAGCCTAACATTTAGAGAGAGAAGAAACAAAGCCTAAAATCTAGAGAGAGGGAAAAAGCCCATCTCTTAAAAGTTTCGGGCCCGCTCACAATATTCAATCCTCTCCCCATGTCCCTTCCTCCCTCCCTCCCTCCACATTCTAAAGACCATGCACCCCACGTCCCATTAACAAAATCCCCAACACCCCAACAAATGCAAAGCCGCATTTTCTCTCTCTAGAACCACCCACCCCCCTCTCCCCCTCGCCGGAAAGATCAGGCCCTCACCGGTTTCCGGGAACCGGGAAAATGGGCTCTCTCTAAAGAACAGGTCTTGTTCCTTAGTAGCTCGATTTTTCCGGCGACACCGCCACCACCACCACGGCCATATCAAAATGGTTCGATCCTTTGAGCAAGAGAGAGAGAGGCCCGGCCTCTTGGTGAAGGGCACGGCCGATATTAACAGGCAAGCACATAGCCTAATTTTGGATCCTGTGGGAGGAGGGGAGGAGAGGACCCTATGGAGGAGCCAAGGGTCAAGAGCTCCATCTGAAAAACTAAGTGAAAACCAGATTGGTTGGTCCCTGAAAAAAGAGGAAAAGACTCCCAAGTCCAGACTCAGCAAAGACATTGCCAATCTAAGGGATAGGCCGCCCTCAGGTGGGTTGGGTTCTTTTGTTTTCATTGATTACAGTGGTTGGTCTCATTGTTGTGTTTCATTTTTTTTTAATTTCTTAATTTTTTTTAGTGATTGAATTTCATTGATTTGTTTTAATCATCATCATCATTATGGTTTTTTTTCAAATTGTTTTCTTTTTATTTGGAGTGATAGAATTTCATTGATTTGTTTTAATGACGTTTTCTTTCGATTTGGTGTGATAGAATTGTATTGATTTGTTGTCATTATTTTTATTTCTATTATGAGTGATTCATTGTATTTTTAATATCTTTTTTCCTTTTTCTTTTATAGTGATTAGATTATATTTGTTTGTTTTTATGTTGTTTTCTTTTGATTTAGAATGATTGAATTTCATTGATTTACTTTTATTTGTTTTCTTTTGATTTTAGAATGATTGAAAATTCATCGATTTGAGTCGATGTTGTTTCCTTTTCGATTCATAGTGTTTGGATTTCAGTGATTCGTTTTTATGTTGTTGTTCTTTTGATTTTGAATGATTGAAAATTCTTTGAGTTGTCTCAATGTTGTTTCCTTTTGATTCATAGTGTTTGGATTTCATTGATTTGTTTTTACGTCGTTTTTATTTTGATTTAGAATGATTGAATTTCATTTGTTTGTTCTGATTTTTTTTTTTTCCTTTGATTCACAGTGATTGAATATCATTATTTTATACTTACGTTGTTTTCTTTTGATTTGGAGTAGTTGAAATTCATTGATTTTTTGATGTTTTATTCTATTGATATTGATTTGGAGTGAATAAATTTCATTATTTTGTTGATGTTGTTTTTTTTTTGTTTAGTGATTTAATGTCGTTGTTTTGTTTTGAGGCTTTTATCTTTTTTGGAAAATTATTTCATGCGGGTTGGACCGCATGACTATATATATGCAATCCGAAAAGCTTAAAGCATCCATCTTAAAGATAGATGTAAGTAGTGTCCAAACGTTTTCTTATTAGAATTATTATTTTTAATTTTTAAAATATATTTATTTTTTTATATTCATGATCTCCATATTAGAGGTTACATATCTTTGAAAATTAAGTCTAAAAATCCATCTCAAAAATAGATTTATTAATAGGCCCACATTTCTACATATGAGGGTTTGACTGCATAGAAATCGGGTCCTCTTTTTTTTTTAATGCTTTTGTAATGGGAAACTATGATGCACCGGTGAGAACCATCGAAAAGATGTAATTACCTGGATTTGGCAGTGGGTCCCATTTTTTCACCCCATCACCGTACATACATACATTGATTGGATGGTGATGCCATGCTATCTATTGTCGTCTCATAATATTTTGGATTTTGGTATATTATTACTGTTTTTTAAATGCCTATTTTTCCTTGTTTAGATTCTTTTTCTTTTTAGTTCCTTTTGTTATTATCCACATATATTTGTCCCTTCCAATATTTCAATAATTTTTGATTAAATAATAGGTGTTATTTCTTTGGGAAAAAAAAGAGAGGAGAAAACTGTATCTCTTTTTGTATGCAATTTAGCTTTTCTAGATAAGTCTTTTAGAAATGAGTTGGATAATTTTCATTCAATATAAAGTTAATTTTTGTACATATCATCGTCATCATCTGAGGTTTATCTTAACAATTTAAAGTCGATACGAATCATGTTATACCATTCCACACTATCAAGGAGAAAAAATATTCATTTTCTCTTGTTGCTTTTTCTCTATAAATTTTAAATTTTTTTATTAATTTTTGGTTTTTTTTTTTTCAATTCAATGCAATTTCATTTCTTAAAATGCTAACCACATTTTTATTTTGCAGATACGGAGTTGATAAAGGAAAGGTTTGCAAAGTTGTTATTAGGAGAGGACATGTCAGGAGGGGGAAAAGGAGTTTCTTCAGCCCTTGCATTGTCTAATGCGATCACTAATTTAGCTGGTATGTGTAATTCAATTTAAATGTATGTTGATAAAATTGGTTTTAGATGAAAAATAAAAGAAAATGGGTGAAAAAAGAAAAGAAAACATAAAGACCGAAACAATGATGCGTAGAGAGAGTGTGTCCATGGGGCAATTTTTTTTTTTTTTTTTTTTTTGTATTCAAGAAAAATTAGTATCAATTTGTAATAAATTTATGTTTAAGAAAAGGGATTGTCTACAAGGAGACGATTTATATTTGGGTGCGTTTTGTATAAAGCCGAGGCTTTAAACAATTAAATTAAAGCCTACTTTCAAATAGTGTCGAGAAATATGGTTTCAATATTGGAAAGTTGTGTATAGCCTTAAATTATATTTCCATCTTTAGTTATAAAATGTAAAGCTTCAAAACTAGTATATATCGAGCAAATCTATGAAAACTTAAAAATATTAAAAATTGACGGTCCAAAAAGACATTACAAGAGTATTTCCAAAACTCAAAATCCATTTTTTTTTTATGTCTATGCATCTTGATGTCGAAGTGATCAATTTGATGATTTTTGAGCATCAAAACAGCATCTTCTAGTGAAAGTTTTGAGGTAGGCTCTAATTCGATTGTTTAGAGTCTAGGCTCTATATAAAATTTTTCTTTTATGTTTTGTACATGGAGGTCATAATCATTAACACTCACAAATATGTCAGATTAGAGAGCTTGGGATGAGTCATAAAGTCATGAGAAATTTTTTATTTTTTGAAAACTGTATCTATTCAATGACATTCTTTCAACCACCCATTATTTTGACCTCCATTTACAAATTTACAAATGATAAATAGTCTTTTTGTACATGGAGGTTCCAATTCTTCACGAAAATGTTTACATACAGTGAGGTTGTTACCTTTTGAATACTTACCTTTGAAACTAAAGAGTTGTATAGAATTATCTTTGAGAAAAAAAGAGAGATTCTCCCATACCAAAGTCACTAACATTTAGTAACCAGATATAAAATGGTATTTTTGTGGTTTGTCTTTTTCTGTACAAATTTCAAGAAAATTTTTCTCATGCTTAAAATATAGGCATATTAAAGCCCATTTCTGCTCGATTTCACTTCTAATAGTTAAAAGTAAATGTAACATTTTTTTAACAAAATTAAATAGTCTTATTTTAATATTATGTTATGAGATTTTATACCATACAACTGTTCCTTTTTGATATGAGGAAACCAGAATCAGTCTTTGCAATTGGATGTAAAATCTATCATATTGAACTATGTCGATATTTGAGAAATTTTATTTTGGACTTTATAATTAGTGACACATCCTCAGCCGCCCGATTTCACATCTGACATTTAATAATGATTGCGGCCTCCTAATACTAAAATTAAATTGTCTCATTGTATTACATTTCCTTATTATATGTATTCCTTTTATGGGGCTCCTTTGACATAAATTCTTTTTCTAAATGGTCAAGAATCTCTTTCAAGAAAGTGCTCGCAACTCACAATAATCTAAACCCCATCGTGCAAGCAAGTGTGGTGTGTATTCTTTTTATTTATCAAAGTCAAGTAGTATAAAAACATGAACTTATACATGACTCTTAAGGGCACATTCAGGTGACATTCGGTTTTTCAAGAGTAGAGCATCTTGTCTGAAATTAATACAAATAATCAACACATTGTATATATTATATTTTATTGGGAGTCTTTTGTTTGATATTATGGAAAGCACATTTTATTGGGCAAGCTTTCTAATTTTCTCCTAATGTATAAAATTTATGTACTTCTCCCTATCAAATTGTCCATTTTGAATGGATGATTGCGATGGCCCCAATCACAATTTCATGTTTTGTACTATTCTGTTTTAATTTTTTTTTTCTGCAAAACATTTGGACACCAAATTTTGGATGTCCACTCCTCTCTTAAAATCACACCAATAAAAAATATAAAATTAATATTCTCAATAAATAGCAATCAAAATGCCCCAAAAAGTTTTCCAGGTATTTGGTTATTTTATTTTACAAAAAATATGTTTTAATATGTTTTTAGGTGCCCACCATTGAGATGATGGATGCCAAATTTCATAGTCATAAAATTTTAGGTGTGCCTTATTGAGATGATAGGTACAAAATTTTGTATTCATAAAATTTGTAGAAAAAATCTAAAAATAAAATACTCTGAAGCGTCAAATTTAGATCAAACGGTCAATGACTCACTTGATCAAAATTGAATGGCTAGATGGGAGAGAATATATATCTTCCATGCTTGGGAACTTTTTGGCATCTGACATGAAACGGATTGCATGTAGATTACTTTTTGCAAAAAAAAAAAAATGGAAATTTGAGCCTCACTTCCCCAGCTACTTGATTCCACATTCAGCCACCAATGTTGATTTTGACCTCCTCGTGCTAGAGATAAATGTTATTATTGTATTTTTTTGGGAAATTATCAAAATGCACCACACATATCAACTATTTAATATTTTACCCTTTTACTACTATTCCAATTCATTTGTATTTTGATGGGTACTTTGAAATTAATTTAAAACAATACGAGTAAAATATTAATAGTAATGATCTTATGTGACCGTCCCACACCCATGTGTGTAAGACTTTAAAAGATCCCTATTGAATTTGGTACAGATCTCTAAAAAAGTTATCAATCTCATAAGTGTATTTTGATATCTACGTACCTTTCTTTTGTTTCTTGTCCTATTAGCACTTCTCTTGTAGAAATAATGATGATTGGTAATTATAGTGTGATTAGATGGTATAATGTGATAATACTGTAATTGAATCATAGTTATCAAGAGTTAAGACTAGGCCAGACCAATCCTGCCCATCTGACCTGTTTAAATCACCAACTAGCTGATTCATAGTAGAATCGAGTTTCATAAAAAAATTAATCCAACAAATATTTGACCGATTTTGACGTGGCATATCCGTCAGTTCAAACCAATTAAAACAGCTCCATAGTGCCGGGCCATGTCTTAGTTTTGAATTTTTTCATTTTCTTTTTTCTTTATAAACTTATTATATTCTAGTCTATAAGATCGATTTTAACTGGATCAAACCCCTCATTAGTCTTATAGTAGGTCTGATATGATAACCATGAATTAAATTGAACGGTGTTGATGTGATTGAATGGTGATAACAGCATCTGTGTTTGGGGAGCAATGGAAGTTGGAGCCAATGTCAGCAGAGAGGAAGGCTCGGTGGAGGAAGGAGATCGATTGGCTTCTCTCAGTCACCGATCACATCGTCGAATTCGTCCCTTCTCAACAAATATCAAAGGATGGAACCAACGTCGAGGTGCATATCCTCTCTCTCTAGCACAGTGTTCTCTCTCTAAAAATTTCTCTCTTTTTTTGTCAAACAGTCACGCAAACCTCTCTCAATGTTCGAAAAATCAAACTGGCCTTGTAAACCTACCAAGGGCCGGTTCTGAATAACTTGTAAACCAAGGGCCGGTTCTGAATAACTTGTAAACCAACCTCAATGTTCGAAAGATCGAACTGGCCTTGTAAACCTACCAAGGGCCGGTTCTGAATAACTTGTAAACCAACCTAAATTGCTCACTCTCTCTATCTGACAGTCAGGCAAACCTCTCTCAATGTTCGAAAAATCGGATTGGCCTTGTAAACCTACCAAAGGCCGGTTTTGAGTAACCTGTAAACCAACCTAATGAGGCGGGCGGATCCCAACAGCATTTAAAAATTAAAAAATATAAAAAATATTCATCCAAATGAAGTTGAAAAAATAGATTTAAAAAGTTAATTTGTACCAAGGGTATTTTTGATATTTTTAAAAAGATAAAAAATATAAAAAAAAATGTTCTTGTCCAAATTACTTTCTAATTTTTGTCAAATTGATTAAAAACATTAAAAAAAAAACGCACATTACATATAAATTCTCTATTTTTTGGAATCTTATATAGTTTTTTCAAATTTTTTTAATACCCAACCGGACCGCCAAAATCAGATCGGAGTGTGCCCGGTTTCGGTTTCACTGGCCGAGTCTGCAAACACTGCTATCTCTGCATACACTCTCCTCTCTCTCTCTCTCTCACACTCAAACAAAACGCACATAGAGGTCTCTCTCGCCGCACACACTAAGTCTCTCTGTCCTGCACACACTATGGAACTCTCTCTCTCTCTCCTGCACACACCATGAAAGTCTCTGTCTCTTCCCCAGATACATACAAATTACAAACACATGAGGGAGGTTTATCACTTTATCTCTCTGTCTCATCCCACAAGACTGGGTCTCTCTCTCTCCTCGCAATTGCAGCAGCTGAACTGAGTACTGTACGTGTGATAATGGTTTGTGATGAACAGATAATGGTGACCAGGCAGCGAACAGATCTTCACATGAACATCCCTGCCCTCCGCAAGCTTGACGCCATGCTCATAGTAATCCCCTCTCTCTCTCCTCCCCCACCAAGTTAGATCTACGGGTGGGAATGGGTCGGGTCCAAGTCAATTGGACTTAAATGGTCTGGTTCGGATCTATAAATAAAAAATATTATATATATTCCATATGTTGTATCTTTATATGATTACAATGCATTCCTATTTCCTACTAATATATAACAGGTCAGGTCAGCCCCTCGTGATCAAGATCTAAGTTAGACACCGACCTGAACCTGACCTGGTCGAGTCAAAAATCCAAATGGACCCAGACCGTACCAGTGGGTTTCAAAATCTGGATTTAGACCTTGACGTTGTTGGATCGACCCATCAGTCCAATTCAAATGGACCTAGACCAGACCTATGGGGTCCAAAATCTGGATCTAGATCTGGATGTTGTTGGGTCAAGCCATCCGGTTAGTTAAATTGAAATGGAACTAGATCAGTGGAGTCCAAAGTTTGGATCTAGACCTAGACGCCATTGGGTAGATAACCTGACCCAATTCCCACCCCTAGTTAGGTGTAGGTCCAAAAGACTTAGACCCGAGTGGGTCTCGTCCAACCCATACCTATCTTTGCCAGGTCAATTGGGTCATTGTCTGATCGAGTTGGATGGGCTGGTTCTGTATCTGGCGATCATAACCCGGACCGATCCATTTCCAGCCCTAATATACTGATATAAGCATTTTCATTGTCATCCTTACTATTTACTCTCTCTCTAACTCCATTGTTTTCTATCAAAAAAAGGACTATTTGGATAGGTTCAAGGACCAGAATGAATTTTGGTATGTCTCCAAAGATGAAGAGGAGGGAGAGAAAGGAAGCAGGCAGGGTGATAAATGGTGGCTCCCAACTGCTAAGGTCCCACCTCAAGGCCTCTCTGATGTCTCAAGAAAATGGCTCCAATTTCAGAAAGATTCAGTGAACCAGGTTCTCAAGGCAGCCATGGCCATTAATGCACAGGTCCTATCAGAGATGGAGATACCTGAAAATTACATTGAATCCCTACCAAAGGTAAATATCAATTAAAAAATAATTGTACTTGTTTTAAGTCTCTCATGTCAATAGTGGGTCTCTCTCTCTCTGGAAGCCGAATGCCATCAAAAGACAGAAAATTAAGTGTCACAAATTAGGCTAAGAACCAATGTTTTGGAAATCGCCTCAGTGCGCTCGGCCCCTGGTTGAGGAAAGCAATGGATTCGGCCAATCTACATACTACCTATAAAAAAGTGAAAAAAGAAAGACAGAAAGAAAAAGGTTTAAAATATGAAGAAAAAAAAAGAAGTAATAGAAATCATTAGCAGACTAAAAAGATAGAAACAGTTCTACAAAAGACGTTTTATTGAAAAGTATGATAAAGAACTTGAACAGTTTAGAAGAGTAAAAAAATATAAAAATTCCCAAATCATCTTAAAAACTATAAAAATCATATAAAAACTTAATTCTAAATAATATAGTAGTATCTTCCAAAATTCTGGCATTTTTTATTTTATTTTTTAGCCATTTGTTTTTCTAATTTTTACCTCATTTATAAAAGTGGGCGAGTTGCTCGGAACTCGCCCCAAGTCCGAGGCGAAAATACTACACTGAGTCTGAGTGTACTCGGCCAAGTCCCGTAATACAGCTAAGATCTATTTCTATGGAAACCAAATAATCTCTCTGATTTTTCTTCAATTTACTTTTTATTGAAGAATGGGCGAGCAAGCCTTGGCGATTCAATATATCGAAGCATCACAGTCGATTTTTTCGATCCCGAACAATTCCTCTCGACTCTCGATCTCTCGACCGAACACAAGATACTAGACTTAAAGAATAGGATTGAAGCCTCAATTGTGATATGGAGGAGGAAAATGATTCATAAGGATGGGAAATCCTCATGGGGCTCAGCAGTAAGCTTGGAAAAGAGGGAATTGTTTGAAGAGAGAGCAGAGACCATCTTAGTCCTCCTCAAACAGAGGTTCCCTGGAATTCCTCAGTCTGTTCTTGACATAAGCAAAATCCAGTTCAACAGAGTATCTCTCTCTCTCTC